TATATATATATATATATATATATGAATTATTCGATTTTAAAGAATTGAGTGCAATTAGGGCATCTCGATTTTCCTCTATGGTGGTAATTTTTTGTTTCTTGTTATACTTATGTGATTATGCAATTAGGCTATCTCGGTTGTCCTATGTGGTGTTTGATTATTGCTTCTCGTTTAACTACATTGGTTGTGACTTGAGGCTTCTTGGTTGTCTTCTTTGGTGGTGGTTTAATGCTTCTTTTTTCGCTACAGTAGTTGTGCCTTGGGGCTTCTCAGTTTTCATCTGTGTTGTGGTTATGGTTGTGGTTTTGATTGTGGCAATGACTTTACTTGTAAAGCATCAAAGATAGAGTGATACGATTGATAGTTGTGGATTTGCATAATTGTTGGTAAGTTTTTTGTTTTCTTTAGTTTTGTGATGTGGTTTGGCGGTCTCTCTTACTTGCTGGTTGTGGGTGTTGGCATAAGTCTTTTTCATAAAAAACAATCGCAACACACGAAATTATCCAAATATACTTAGCCACCCCAAACACAACATGAATCAATCACTAGAAGATTAGTGGTACAAATTAGGCAAATAAAGCTTGAACTAGATAAAGTTAAAATCAAACATAGTTCAAATATGGTTTAAGATAGCAGCATTAATTTTGACTTTATTACTTGCATTAAGCTGATTTTCAACCAAAAAATTAATTTCAAAATATTTCTAAATTTTTATGTAAGAAACATTATTTTAAAAGTGTGCATTATGAGAGACAAATTTTTTTAATTACCAAATTAAGTTAAATTCATTAGCTAGGGATCATTTCTTTTCTGTATAAAATGGGTGTAAAAACATTTAAAATATGGAGATTTTCTACTTCAAATATTTTAATGTTTGATAAATAAGTAATAATTAAATTTTAAGGAATTCTAACTCACTTTATAATTCATTTGTGGCATATTCTTAGCTCGGCCAATCTAACTGAATCTCAAATTTGCAAGCTATAGCCTTTGCCGCCACCCATAACCATCTACACCCTATTGCTACCATCATTAGTCATTGCTTACAGCCATTGCAAACCACCTCTCAAATAGTCATTGGCCACCACTGGCCATCAGCCACTACGTGTCACCTCTCTCCACAGATGCAACTAACCAGCTGCGAGCACGAGCCACTACCAACCAACTTTGTCGAGACTTTACATTGATCTCATCTAACTTCAAATAATACACAAAAATAATCTTTTAATTAGATTATGTTATATTTTCATAAGTAACTAAAGAATAGTTTCTAATATAATATATTTTCAATATACTATATTAATTTATTTATTTTCTTACAAAACAAGTAGTAGCGAAAGAGCAAGCCGGGTAAGAGCACCGGAACACAAACTTCGCCGTCGGAATAACTTTTTAACAGTCCATAAAACTTATTTTATCATGTTCACGGTTTAGAAAGCACCGGAACCCAAGCTTCGCCTCTGGAGTGCCTCTCCTCGTCTCCGATCATCTCATCATCCTTTGCCCTTGAGCTCAATCCGGAAAGGGAAAGCACAGCATATTTCTCTCGTTGGCTGGCCGTGTTGCTTTAAGTTTCTCAATCGAATCTCTCGGATTGAGGCCCCGTTTTCTTAGTTCCTAAGTTCGAGGGCCCCAATCTTCACCCACTTCATGGGCATCGAAGGGGAATCGGGCGACTCGAACGCCGCTAGCGTCGGTGAGTCCCTTCTCGCTACAGTCCACGTCCGCTGCACCAACGGATCCAAGTTCTCCGTCCAGGTTGCGCTCAACACCACCGTTAGCGCCTTCAAGGCCCTCCTCGCTGAGAAGTCCGATGTGCCGACGCAGCAGCAGAGGTTGATCTACAAAGGACGGATCTTGAAGGATGAGCAGACTTTAGAGAGCTATGGTGCTCCAACTTATTCTGTTATTATTTTCTCGTTATAATTAATTTGTTCCCTGTCGTGATTAGAAACCTGTTTTTGTATATGATTTTCGGGTTTTATTTTGGAATGTTATGATTGGTTGTTAGAATGATGCGGATTGTTCAGGAATCTTAGCAGAATAAATACGATTCGCTGCCTTGGATTTAAAAGTTTCGATGGTGGGGTTTGGAGTGGACTCTTGATGTATAATGACATGCTAGAAGGAAGCAGCGTCTGATGATTATTTCTTTTTCGTGTAAAGCTGTTCATGATTAGCTCAGTGTGCTCTTTTTGTTATGCACTTACGTATCCTACTTTTGTTTATGCGTTTCCCACCTTGTTCGTTTTTTATAGGCATGCTTTTGTAATTGATCAAAATTTTTTGTTTAATTGCATGCTTATTTTTCCTTTTTTGATTATATTTCCTTGTAGCTCCTCATTAACTTGGTAAATGTGGGTGGATCATGATGTAGTGATGTTATGCGGAAAAATAGAAGCTTATAAAATAGAAATGGTTTTGGCTTGCCAGTGCTCAGACTGCACCACACCCAAACAAGTGCTTTTATTCTTGTGACCTTAGAGTGGATTTTACAATGATAATTGTGACAATGTTTTTGGTAGCACTTTAGTCCTAAAGATTATAGTAGTAGCAAGTTAAAAAATAGAAGCACAATATAAAACTTAAATGATCGGATTGAAAAATTAAACATGTATACTGAATGCTCGAATTCTTATTGTCACATTGTGCTCAAGCACTATCTTGTAGGATTATTTTAGCCCATTGGTTGATGTGTCTCCGTTTAAAGGTTGATGATTGTCAGTCTTTTTGGATAGAACTATTTATATGAATGTTGCACTCACCAGTGAGGATCATTGGAAGAACTTTCTTTTATAAGAAACAATGGTTATGTTTGATCCTTGACATTATTAGTTGTTTGGAGCTGGACATCTTTTTATTTTCTACTAACATTTTCAAGGTTTACACAAGATCCTCCACCTTAAATGATTGGCCCCCACCTTGTTTTGTTTGCCAAGCTTTAGACCACATGCTTTTTCAAGCTCTAAATGTCTCAAGGGATATTTACTGAGATGATGGACTAGAACCAATATAGTGTATAATTTTATCATGTATGGATTATCATAGGTGATGATAAATAGTCGTTCAGGCAACTAATTGAAAACTCATAATTGATGATTATTATGATTTCCTATCACTAGTGGAGGATGAGATGCCTTGAAGTTTATCACTGCCTCTTCTCGACATAAGATGTTAGAAGTTATAGTTGACGTCTTTGGTGGTGAAAACGAGAGAGGAGGGTGATTTGAAACAAGTAAAATCAAAATGTGATAATGGATGAAAATGAAATCTTTACAATGAGACATTCAAAGAAGATAAGAGTGCGTAGGTAAGTGGCGTTTCTATTAATATGTGAGATAGGTAAGTGGTGTTTCTATTAATAACTCTTGCCTTGTCCAGGAAGCAAATGGATTCTCAAAAACTAGTCCATGCAACTCATGTGGAGAAAAATATGAGATATGGAAGAGAGCATGTAAAAGTCTTGGAAATATTATGTGTTTATTTAATGAAATTCCATATATTTCAATTGAAATTATTTTATCAAGAATTTGATGATCAAGCTTTAGTATTTTTGGGACTATGAACTATTGTACTAGTTTTTAGAGTTAATAAGAAATAATTCACTTAAGTTTAACAATATTTTAATATGGACAAGATTTTTATTGCTAAAATTGCATTCTTGAAGAGGTTTGCTCAATGGAATTTTACTTCTAGCTTTATTCCATTCTTGGATTTATGATATCTATAATATTAGCCTTGGTTTAAAAAAAATGGTCTCACTTTCACTGTTAGAATTCAATAGGATAATTTTATTGATATCAAAAGGGTACATGATACAAGAGTTACAAAATAGAAAAGACAAAATAGGATATACATAAACTAGGAAATAGATTAACAAGGAAATACATAAAAGAAATATTCGGAAAGGAAATGAAATAACTAAATGCTAATAAATAAATTCTAATAATTCTATTACTCTCCTCAAGTTGAAGCATAGATGTCAATCATGTTCAACTTGGATTTGAAGTCGTCAAATAACGATCTAGGATTCTTTGTCAGGATATCTGCTAGTTGACCACTGGATAAGACAAATGGAATACAAATCTCCCCAGAATCAAGCTTCTTGATGAAGGGATGGTCAATCTCCACATTCTTGGTGCAATCATGATGGACTTAATTATGAGTAATGCTAATGACTTATTTATTATCACAAAATAGCTGTAGAGAAACAGAGACCGATATATGTAACTCGCGAAGCATGATGCACAACTAGAAAACTTCACATATTTCGAAGGATATGGAACGAAACTCAACTTCAACACTGTTATGGGCAGCCACTGACTTTTTTGTTTCTCTAAGTGACAAGGTTTTCTCAGATGAAGGAGTAACAACCTGAGGTAGATCGCTGATCATGGACGAACCTGGCCCAATTAGTTTCCACATAAACTATAATAAAGCAAGAGGTGTGGCGAAATAACAACAAATATTAGCCCGGTGTATCTTTTAAATAGTGGAGGATCCGATTTACAACAGTGAGATAGTACTCATAGGGATCATATATGAACTGACTTACAATACCAACACTGTGACAAATGTCGGGACGCCTATGGGCGAGGTAAATAAGTTTACTCACAAGGCGTTGGTAGTGTGACTTGTTCACCAGAACGACATTGGTAACATCTGCCAATTTCTCACTGGGATCCATCGGAACAACAACTGGTTTGCAAAGGAGAAGACTGATCTCTGTTAATAGGTCCATCACATATTTGTGCCAGGAAGGATAAATGCCCCGAAAGGATCGAGCAAATTCCATGCCTAAGAATATCAGAGAGACTCTAAGTTCTTTAAGAGAATCCAAGGCGGGTAGATCATTATCTGTGAGCACAATATCTTTGACAAAGACTATGAGGATGACAATATGACAACTGAGAGGGATGCCGAAAGAAAAGAGTGTGATCAGATTAGGCCTGAGGGAACCTACGACCCGCTACTACTTGCATGAACTTGCCGAACTAGGCTCGAGGGGATTGCTTCAGACCCTAACGGGGCTTTCGCAATCGACACACTTGTCCACAGGAAGAAGTAGAGTCAAAGCCCGGAGGGAGAGACATATACACCTCCTCTGTGAGATCGTCGCTGAGAAAAATATTATTGACATCCAATTGGAGTAACATTCAATCCACAGATTCACTGCAAGAGATAATAGAACCTGAATGGTGTTCAATTAGCAACCAAAGCCAATGCTTCGCATAGTCAACTCCATAGATTTGTGAGTAGCCTTTGATGACCAACCACGCTTTGTTGCATTCATCGGAGTTAAGTTTGAAAATTCACCGACAACCCACTGTTTTTTTTCCCGATGAAGATCAACAACATCCCATTTATGGTTTCGCCGAAGGATATTCATCTCATCCATTACTGCAACCTTTTTGGAAAGGCACGTCAATGTTGCCACAATAGTTGATGGAATGAAGTGGAAAATGCTTTGTAGGTTTGCGATAAGCTGTGAAATGAGACGTATTTGGCCATAGACTAAAGAGAATATGTCTGATTGCGTACCTCAATGGTAGAATTCACCTCATTCAGAGCAGGAGTAATCCTCGCAAGTTGAGAGATTTTAGTTCCGCGTATGTTAATCAGAGCGGATTCCAAGACCTGTAAAGAGACAACTGGCTCAAGAGTAGGAGAATTGGGATGAGTCTCAACCGAAGGTTTGATGCGCCGAGTATAAATGCGAAGAATGGATGGAGGAGATGTTGGTCTGGTGTTGGCGGATTCAGTGCGACTGAGGGTTCCTCATAAAGAGTGGCTGGAGGTGCAGACGGAATATCCACCAGAGTCGGAAAAGGAAGTGTCAAAAAATCTAGCTCCCCCTCACGTGGGATAGTGTTAGGGAAGTAGAAAACACTTTCGAAGGATGAGACATCGACACTCACATAGAGTTCATTTATGATAGGATCAAGACATCGATAACTTTTTTGAGTGGCAGAATATCCGAGGAAGACACCCGAGGAAGACACATTTTGATTGAACGAGAATCAAAAGTTTACTACTAGTGGGAGCAGTGTTTCCAACAAAGGTCGCGCACCCAAATATTTTGGGGTCTGAAGTTGATACAAACCGATTGGTAGGAAAATAAGACATTAAGACGACTAACATGTTATTTTTGTGGGGACTCTATTGATGAGATATGTAGCGGTAAGTACAGAATCATTTCAGGACATTAGATTGAAACATTGGAATGAGCAATTTAAAGAAGATGTCGGTTTTTTGGTTCAACAATTCTTTTTTGTTGAGTGTTCGTACAGGAGCTATGACGGAGAATGTCCTGACTAAAAATTCTCCCAATAAAGTTAAAAATTTCACGTTCGTTGTAGGTATGAAGGCCTTGAGTTAATGTTTTGAATTGAGTAAAAATGAAGGAGTACAAATTTTTTAAGATGAAGACAACTTCAGATTTGTCTTTTAAGATATAGACTCAAGTCATCCGAGTGTGGTTATGAATCAAGATAAGGAACCACCATTTATTGGTGTAGCTTGAAGTTCGTGAGGTCCCCATAAATCACTATGAATTAGTGAAAAAGGAGTAGAATGAGTGTAAGAGGGATTGCATATGGTATATGATGATGTTTTGCTAATTGAAAAAAATCACATTGGAACCTATATAGTTTTTATTAGTAAACCTCAAAGGATACAACTGTTTTAAATATTGAAAATTGCGATGACCCAAATGACAATGTAAAAACATAGTAGAACATTTAGTGGACAGAGAAAAACTACTATTGGTGGATGGAATGTCCTTGTCATCAATGTTCTTCCCTTTTAAGTAGAGCTCGACTACTCACTTAGTAGTTCTAACCCTCCCCGAAAGACGAGCTTGAAAGACACAAACATCAGGAGAAAAAT